TTTGAGCTGGGTATTATTGATGTCATATTTATTTACAAGACCGCGGCTCAACCTCAGGAAAAAATTCCTCTTGTTAGAGGGTCACAAGTTTCCATTAATTTCAGGCACACTCAAAGACCCTGAATCCGCAGCCCCACAGCACCAAAGCACGGCTCCAAGGCAAAAGTCGGGGACTGGGCTCAGCTGCGGTTTCTTTGTTCTCTGTGTCCCTTCTGCCCGTGGTGCCGATTCAATCCAGCCAGACTGCCAATGGCAGGCTCTGGAGTTTGTCTGTGATATTGCCCATCTGCAGCCCCAGAGATGTATGCAATTTCAGGTGTGTTAGACTCAGGGGAGTACCTGAGCAGGCTCTTATTTATGATGTATTTATTTGCAAGACCGTGGCTCAATTTCAGGAAAGATTCATATTATTAGAAGGTCACAAATTTCTGCCAATTTCATGCACACTCAAAGCCCCCGCCTCCACGGCTCCATAGCACCAAAGCATAGGTCCAGGGCAAAATTCGAGTGAGTGCCCTCAGCTTCGGCCTTTCTGCTCTCCATGCCCCATCTGCTCACAGTGGCAACGCAATCCTGCCCGACTGGCAATGGTCAGCTCCAGAGTTTGCGACACCACCCATCTGCGGCGCCAAAGATGCATGCAATTTTAGCTGTGGTGGATTCAGGGGTGCACCCGCCAGTGACCTGCGGTCCTGACAACTGTGGCAAAGAAAAGCATGGTGTCTCCCAGTCTGACCCAAACCTGCTCTGCAATCCACTGGGAGGGGAGGGAGCCAGCCCCTCTGGTGCACCAGTGAGATCTTGACCTGAGTCTCAGCAATGGTGTCCGTGTCTCGCTGCACCCTCACTACCCAAATTACTGACAAAATCAGTCACTGGAGACAGGTCTTTGCCACTGCCCGCTGGAATATTGTATTGGTCGCTGGTAAGCTGCTATAATTGATCTCATTTTTGGCTTGGGGATCTCAGGCTGCCGCCTTTGCCCGGGAGACAGTGACTGTTCCAGAAAAGTTTACAATGGTCTCTCTTTGGTGCCCGTTCGTCTTCCAGCAGTAGCTCTTTTCTAAAAAAATGCCTTTCCTCCAGTTCTGCTCTTCTGTGTTTGGTGCAATCTGATTCAGTGAACTGTTCAGAGCACCAAAAATCTCAATTCAAATTGTTCTACCTAGTTCTTAAAGTTCTTAGATGCCAGAGGGAAAAAACGTGGTGCTCGCTGGTGAGACTCTATTTTGAATCCTATTTTCTGTTTCACTTATTTTTGCTCAAATCTTTATTATTTCTTTTCTTCTGGTGACTGTAGGTGTTTTTTTTTTTTTTAATCTTTTTCTAATTTTTGGAGATGCTGGGTTAAGGTTGGCAATTCTTTTTGATCAATATTTTATATATGTAGCTCTATTGACTTCTGGCTTCTAAGTTTCCTAGAAAAATCTGCACTAATTCTCATGAAGGACCCTTGATATGTTATATTGTGATTCTTTCATATCTCTCCTTGTCTTTGATTTTCAGGAATTTTATTAGAATGTGACACACGGTGGACCTCTTTGTATTTCTTTTAATTAGAGTCCATGTAGTTTCCTGTATTTGCAGACTTGGTTCTCTATACAAGTCTGGGAAAGACTCCATGATTATCTCTTGGAAAATTCTTTCCATGCCTTTATTATTATCATGGTGCTCTGAATTTCAAGTAATTTTAATGTAAGATTTGTGAATTGAATCCCACATTTCCATTTGGTTTTGTTTGTTTTTCTTTGTTCTTTTTTCTTGTTTCTCTTGAGACTTAGGTTCAGGTACTCTGTCATGCAGTTTAGTTATTCCATTTCCTGTCTTTTTAACTTTATTGTTGTATGTTTCTCTTGTATTTTGTAATTCAGTTATTTTATTCTTCAGTTCCAGTATATTATTTTTCTTATGTTCTCAATTTCTGTATTGAATTTCTCATTTTGTTCCTCAATTTCTTTTCTGATCTCCTTTAATTTGTTTTCTCTGTATGTTTTGCTTTATTTAAACATATGTGACACTATTTTCTGGAAGTCTATTTTTTACACTATCTTGGTATTCACATGAGATACTTCCAAATCCTCCTGTTTTTCTTTTAATATGTCCTTTTTCTGTGATTTTGTGTGTTTTAATACTTTTTGTTGAATGTGGGACATTTTGACATTTTTGTGATTTTTCAAAATTCTGAGTTTTCTGATTTTCAAGGGAATTACATTTGTTAGGTTTATCTCCACTATCTTTTCTTAATTTATTTTACAGGGCACACTGGTCCTTAGGTTTTTTTGGAGTTGAGTCAAGAGTTCTGTCTGAGGATTTTTTCTCCGTTATTTTCAGCTTCTAGTCTTTTTGTTGTTTTGAAAAATTTTAAGTCTCTGGGTTGCTCTTCCTAGGATGGCTGACTATGCTAGGTATGTTAGGTTCCCCTCTGTCTTTTGTGGGTTTGGCTGTAGCCCAGACTATACTCTTAGGGCTGAGTTCCTTTCCTTCCATACGTCAGATTGGGGCAGGGCCTTCTCTCTGTGGTTAATTGCACATGTGTGAGATTTTCATGGCCACAGAAGAAGCAATGGGCTTTGGGTTTCCCGAAGCAAGGGTAGGGAATCCTTCCCTCATGAGTCATTCTCTGTAGGCTCTCTCACAGTGTTGAGTTGTGGACATGGAGACAGTTGTTTTCTATTGTGTTGCCTTTTTGATGTATTTTTCTCACCCTGGCTGAAGAATGGGCCTCTCAGCTCTTCAGTGTTACCTTAATTGAACTACACTTCCCTCAGTTTAGCTCTCATCCTGTATTCTTTGTTAAGGCTATTCCTTGTCCCTGTGCTAAAGTGGCTTTAAGGAGCCAAGTTCTCTAGATGCCAGTAGTTAGAATATTCCATCTTCTGTGCTGACCCTGCTCCTCTTCTTCCTCATTTTTGGATTCACCTTGACTCCCCAACACTTTAGCTGTAGTCTAGAGCTCTGTGATCTCAGTTAGTGTTTCTTTTTATTCATTATCCAGTGGGTTAGTTGTGGGAGATAATTGTGAATGACTGTTTACTCCACCATCTTGCCCTGCCTCCACAATGAAAGCACTTTTTTTTTTTTTTTTAAGAAGTAGGGGAAAAGTCCACACAGAATTCTACATCCAGAAAAAAATATCCTACAAGAATGAATGTAAACTAGATTTTCAGATAAAGGAAAATGAAGAATGTTCATTGACAGCAGACTTTTAGTATAAGAAGTGCTAAAAGAAGTTCTTTATGTGAAAGGAAATAATTCCAGAGAGGAAATTGGGAATCCACAAATGAATGAATAGTATTATAAATGGAAATCATTTGGATAAATGTAAAAGACTATTTTCCTTCTTTAATTCTTTAAAATACATATGACTATTTGTAATTTTAAAAAAATCATCTTTTGTGTTTTCATGTATGTAGAAAATAATAAAAATTTAATTAAAATGATGTGGAGGGAAGTAAAGGGGTTATATGGTTTCAATATTTCCTCTTTTTATGTAAAAAAATAGATATATAAAAACCCTGGAATAATTACTAAAAAATAATATGAAAAGGTGTGATTAAAAAGCCAATAGATAAAGCAGAATACTGAAAATACATAATCTAAAAGAAGGCAATAAGAAGGGAACGAAACCATAAGAAACAGAGAATAGACTACAAAGCAAGACCCAATTCCATGCTACCTACAAGTAACGCAATTAAAATATAAAACCAAGGTAGAATGAATGGGAAAAGATGTACCAAGCAAACTGAAAGATAAGAAAGCTGGACTAGCAATATTGTGTTAATATATTAGTATCAGGGAAAATAGACTGTAAGACCAGGAATACCCTGAAGATAAAAATGGACATTTCATAATGATAGTCAATTAACTGAAAGACATACTGATCATAAATGTTTTTGCCTGAAAACAGAGTCTTAAAACATATGAAAGGAAAAGTAACAGACTTAAAAGAAGACTAGCCCAACTGCACAATCACAATAGATTCAAACACCCCTTTCTCAGTAATTGATAAAACAACTAAACAAAAAATAAGGAAAGATACAGAATATTTAAACACCTCCTACCCATTAAGATCTACTACCAACCTCCTTGTTCTAATTAATGTTAGTAGAGAACTATACAAACAAAAGACCTCTTTAAAGTGCTAAAAAGCAAAGATGTCACCTTGAAGATGAAGTTGTGCATGATCCAAGCCATGGTATTTTTTTTTTTTTTGGTTTAAAGATGACTGCAGGGGATAGTTTGAGTTTAGCAGTTTTTTTTTTTTTTTTTTTTTTTGGGTGTGTGTGTGTGTGAAAATTTAGAGAGCAAATTTGTTTTCCATTCAACAGTTCATACACATTTTGTTTCATGACATTGATTGCAATCCCCATCATGTAACAGCTCTCTTTCCATGGCATTTTTAATCCTACATATGTATGTGAAAGTTAGACAATGAATAAGGAAGACTGAAGAAGAATTGATGTCTTTGAATCATGGTGTTGGCAAAAAATATTGAATATACCATGGACTGCTAGAAGAATGAACAAATCTGTCTTGCAAGAAGTACAGCTGGAATACTCCTTAAAAGCAAGGATGGTGAGACTTTGTCTCACATATTTTAGACATGTTATCAGGAGGGACCAGTCCGTCAGAAGGACATCATGGTTGGTAAAGGAGAGGGTCAGAGAAAAAGAGGAAGACCCTCGGTGAGATGGATTGACACATGGCTGCAACAATGGCTCAAACAAAGGAACAATTATGAGGATGGTGCATGACTGAGCAGTGTCTTGTTTTATTGTACATAGGGTGCTATTGGCCCAACGGCACCTAACAACAACAACATACTGGAGATCCCTAACCAGTGAACTGTATCAGTTAGTGTCCCAACAGAAAAAAATGTGACATTTGAAATAGAATAATTAAATGAAGGCTTATTCATGAAAAGGACACTTGAAATGTGGACATAAGGGAATCAGATGGCATAATGCAATAATCCAAAGCTAGCAGTAGCTGAACAAACCTCAGGGCTAAAGAGATAAAAGGAGAAAACATTACTGGAATTCAGAAGGGAGAGTCATATAAAGTGAGATTCCTTGAAAGGAACAGTGACCTCTGACAGCTGAAGAAGAACAGATCAAGGTGACCTCATAGGGAGAAAGCTAGGGGAATAAACCTGACTTTACCCTCTTCCCTTTTTCCAATCTTCTTCTAGGTTTCCTATTAGATGAACCCAACTAGAAGTCAGGAGCTCTGGTAGCATAGTGCCTAAGGCACTTGACTGCTAATCAGAAGGCTGGCGGTTCAA